GGTAGTAAGGACGCCCTCGCCCCAAGAAAGCTCACGACAAGAAATTTTTCCATCTATAAAAGAGTTGAACCAATTCTGGAACTTTCGTCTGGTCGGCGGCTTTACGACCACGACTATCTAGCTTTCACCTTCTGTTGCGCTTTCTGACGATGTCCAGCGTCATGTTGTCCAGTCGGTTACCGATTACAGGTGATCACTCAAGGTGTGGAATTGTTTATTGAGATGACTCAGTCGAAGTTTACATAACGACAGAAAACAGTCAGGTTGTGGTTGCACTATGTACAGCCGTGATTCGACGATCCGGACGGTGGCTACCCACTCGTTCGAGTTTCGTAACATTGTAATAACCATAAATGTCTCCGCAACCGCTTGGAGCGGCATCGATGAACGCGGTACCGCTTCGTAGAAGTAGTTCTTTGTCCCCAGTCGGTGAAATTGTCAAACAACGATCGAGGAAACTCCATCCTCCGGCCGAGGATGGCGCGCCAACTCTTTTCCTTCTCCGAACGGTCTGAGGTTGGCAAAAGAAGGCGCTCCCTGCGACTTGGCTGTCAATGCGACGGCCGCTCGGCGGAGACAAAATGGTCTGTCTCGGCGCCGCAGCGAAGTTCATCTCGGCATCTCTTTTGAACTTGTTATGTGTCCTCTCCGATATGTCGTCGACAGATCTCGGGTCGCACAACGAGTTTTTCTGACCAACGACATTCTAATGACGCTCCAGTCAAAAAAAATGCTGGGAGAATCCACGAGCTTATCCCATATACGTGCAGTGGGCTCCCCTTGACGGGCACATCGTTTCATCGAATCACTCTCAGTCCCGGTCACTTCTAATTTATTGTTCGGGTTCTGAGGAATAGTTACGTTCGCCTCATGGGATCTATGGCCGATCTTCACGCACTCGAGGAATGCGGGATTCCCTGCATCCCGGGAGCTATTTTGTTGATCTTCGACTCTTCGGGAGATGAGTGAATATCTCATTGTCAGACGGGCAGTTTCCATGCTGCTCGTCTCACTGGTCATCCACACCTACTATTGTGTCATATGAATACCCAGATCACAGGGGAAGATCTTTACAGCGCGGGCCGAAGGAGCGGGTTCTAAAACAATCGAACGCCGGTCATCTATAAATCTCCGGGCCCCCTCCGGAAGGAGATTAGACATTAGAGTCCTGAATTCCAGCTTCTATCTCTTGAGGATATTTTGACTTGATGAAAGGTATCGGTCACCGATGACTGTGACTCGGTAGACTGCCGCGTTCATGGGTCTCGCCGATCAAGACTCCCTGCCCGGGGTTTTCTTACTTACCCTCACTCTCAGAGATGCGAAGCTCTCCCACAAACATGGCTCAGAGCTCCCTTTTCGACCCGGCAAGACCCTGTCTGTGGAGGCGAGAGGATGTCGGGTGGTGCATCCGAGACTCTGTCAGCTGTTTCGTGAATGAGAAGTTAGTCGAAAAAGGAAGAAGGACAATCATGCGAACAGCTTCTCCGGAGAGCTCAGCCGCCCGACCTTCGGATGAGAAGACCTTCCGTCTGGTCTTCATGCACGGGGAAGAGCTCGAGCTGAAATACTCTGTGCTCATCGAATCGAGCTCCTACTTTAGAGCGTTATTATTTGACGACGCCCCTTGGAGAGAGTCTTCGACGTGTTCGATCCAGCTCGAGCAATGGAAGCGGGAGGATTTCGGCGCAATCATCGAGTGCATCGAAAACGATGACTCCTGGAAATTCTTCAGACTGATCGAAGGTAGAATGAACCACTACTTCAAAGTTCTCGACTACTTCTCCTTCAATGAATTGAGGAGCGAATGCCTGAAGTTCAAGATCGCGAATTTATCAGACGACAATGTTTTCGGCGAGCTCGAACTCTCACGCCAGTATCACCTCGGCGAACTGAGAGAAAGATGCATAGAGTATCTGCTATCGAATCTCTTCCGACTCCTGGAAGTGGAATCCCATAATCGACAGATGTCCAAAGAGCTTTTCCAGCGTCTTCTCGAGGACGAGCGCCTAAAGGTTAAAAACGAAGACGAGATCCTCCGCGCGATCGACTTGTGGTGCTCGTTGGAGGATCACGCTGCAGATCGGGAAGACGTCCTACGCTCGCTTCGATTCGCCCATCTGACCAGGGAAGCTTTCGACCGATGTCAGCGAGAAGCCCGAAAGTTTGAGAGTCCAGAGCTCCGTGTCTTGTCGGAAAGTGCTCGGTGGAGTGATCTGGACGAAAGCTTGTTCATTGCTCGACGAGGTTGTGGGGTGCATTTGCATTTCTTGGGGTATAGTCAGGGGGTCGATCATCGATATTGGGAAGACCTGCCAGAGGACCGCCACCCACTGCAGAATAAGCTCATCTACTGCACCACGAGATCCTCATTCAGCCCAGTCCAGGGAGCCTCCGGAGCGGCGCCCCCCTTCCCAGACGAATACATGATCTATAACGAATCATGCGCTAGTTTCGATCTTCTCGGTGTCCCGATGAAAGTCTTGGAGGATGTCGGTATCAGAGTTCCGGACCATCGTCCATCCGCGGGACCGTCGCTCTCCTGTTTCAGGAAAACGACCCACTTGGTAGCGTTGCCGGTCACTGTTGGAAGCGATCTACACATTGCCCACTTGGACCTCTCCACCGGGTCTCAGGAGCCTGCGATCCTTGCTGGAGATATGGTGAGGATAACGACGCGTGGATTGGTGGGGGGACGCCTGTACGATATTTCGAAAAAACTCAGGATCAATCCCAATCGTCTGCCGCTACACCGTGCCATCAGTACGCTCTTGAATGCGAAGGCGCATCCGCTCCGCGTGGAAGGCGACTGGAAACTGCTTCTGCTGCACAGAGAGGGCCTGATACTCGCACTCGGTAGAGAGCCGAGGAGCGGACCGATCATTGAACTTCCGGAAGAGTACCACGGAGTGAGCCTTAAAGGCTATGATTACATGAGCGCGGACTCCGACATGGTCATCGTGGGCGACATGGCCTATGTGCTGTCGAAATTCGTTCGCCGCAAGTCGCTGTGCCCTCGCCGCCTGCGACGAGGCTCCGAGGCCTACGACATCGAGATCCGAGTTCGTATTGCTGCTGTCGATTTGATCGAAGGCAGAGTCGGTCGGGGGGAAATATTGGACTTGAGTCCGCTCATTGCCCGCAGCCAGCGGACATCGGGTGGTCTCCTGGAAGTCGCCCTGAAAACCTTTCACGATGAGGTGTTCGTCGTGGGCGTCTCGAACGTCGTCACGCACAGGGTGCCGGAGGGACCCCGACTCCGATATTTCGTCCATCGCATTGGGAGGTCAAGCGGCGAGCTGACGACGACCTCGGTGGTCGACGATTCTGGGGTCTGTTGGGAAGAGCATTCGAGGAGTTGCAGCTTCACTTGGGAGGGACCTCTCGTCCTTGCTGACGCGTCCGCCTGCGAGCTCGCAACGATGCTGCAAGTGAAGGTGGGCGAGGAAAAAGATCCGGAGCGGAGAGCGAAGCTGGGCCGCTTCTGTTGGTCGACTTAATCCTATGATGAGCGCAGTGCCTCCCTGGTGGGAAAAATCACATGCGATATATACACAATATGCAAATCATGTTTATACACACTCTCATGTTCATATACTCATGTATTTTTAAGTCATTGGGAATGACACCAACTCGCCGGATAGGCCGGATACAATGCAATACGAGTAAAGGACGTAGATTGGCGCAATATTTCAATATGCCGACTTATCTTGTAATATAAGATGGAATCCGCAGAGCATTATGTGATATATGGAAAACACTAATAAACTTCGGTTTCGATATGAGAATTCCACAAATAACAAATGAATAAAAGATTGACAGAATTTACCAAAGGGAAAAATTATCCCTTCATTCTTTCTTCTCGTTCCCACTCGGGCCAACGCTGGCGAGTTCGGACGCGGCTCGCGACTTTGGAGCGACTCGAGAAAAGCTCCGGCGTCTTCTCTGGGGACAGGTTTCAGGCAGCATGCGAAATCGTTCTTCGGCGCCATCTATGGTGGAGGAGACTCAGACTTCCGACAGCGCGAGCTCAGACATTTGTTCCGCATCGATCAATATATCTGATCCGCCATGAATTTGATCCGTGGTGGAGGGAGGCAAGAGGGGCATCGATCCCCGGGAAGAAAAGTCCGCTCGTAACTCTCAAAGTGCAGTCTGGAAGGGATGTGGGACAGAGCGCAGTCTGGCTCCGACCGGTCTGAACGTAATGTGTATGAACACTGCGCAAACAATGAGCTCTGCTATAATTATCAGAGCAATTCTCGCATGAATTGCTTCGAGTCCGGGCCTGGACCGAAAGTCGCGCCAAAACTTCGCTCGAGGAGGCGTCGTTTCGGCCAGTGCTTGCAGCTTGTTGTCATCTGTCATGTGGTTCGAATGTGTTCACCAGCTGACTGAGAAAGCAGAATCGCTATGATATGGTGGTGGTGTGTCGAAGCGGTCGTTTTGATGTTCGCCCTTTCGCCACGATCCCGACCCTTTCCGCGAGAAGCAGTCGCCGGGTTGGCGGTGGCCGTCGGTACCGCGGCTGCTGAGGCAGCAACTGCTGCCACACAGTTTGCGTTTTGCTGCCCTTAGCGCTACTTGTCTTGCTGTCTTGCTGACAAACCGACGGAGCGAGCCAGCCACCGACCGACCGGCTGCCTGCCTCCCGGCCGACCGACCGGCTTACTGACGGACGGTTGCTTTCGCGGTCTAAGGTTGGATGGAATAAGGAAGGGAAGCACACTTCCAACAGTGAGAAGGCGTACTGCGTTCGTGCCGCTATAAGTACAACCGAAACCACGGCACCAGTCCAGTTGTTCTGGTGAACTGTTTGTTCGTTCATTCGTCTGGATCGATTTCCGTCGCTTCACAATGTGCGGTGAGTCTTAGCAACTGTCAAAGAGGAGCGCTCTCGGAGACGCGCGGTTCGAGCGATGCCGCTAAGCATAGAGAGACTCTTCTGGTCACGAAAACGGACAATTGCCAATTCCTTGGAAACTCGATACCTTTGAGAGTATCTGCGTGGAAGAAGCGGCTGAGAGCACGAGTTTTCATTATTCGTTATTCGAATCCGTCTGCGCGGGAGTATCGCTGCTGAGCTTCCTGGGGCAGACTTCAATGAGCCATCGTCGACGTATAAGTTCCGAAGGTTTCTGCTGCCCGCGGGAAATCCGACAATGCTCGGAGCGCTGATAAAGTTCAGGGGACCGAGTATAAGTTAAATTCGGGAACAGAGCATGAACTCCGCTCTCGGGTATCTTACTTCGCCATGCTATCGGTCTGCGCATCCGACACCGGATTGGGACTCCCGCTCATCTGGTGTCGGCAGTTTGCGGAATTCCCCGAACAGAGAGCGGGGTGTCGAGCTTGAAAGGAACGAGAGCGCGTTCGAGATGAGGCTCGCTCCCATCAGATGTTCCGCGGAGCACGTGTTTCTTGTTGTGGAAAATGCGGTGCGCATTTGAACTCCGTACCGTCAAAGCTCTGTAAGCACGGCTCCTCTTCGGCGGTTCGGCGAAGTTGATCGAGATGCTGTCAGCGGGTCGGGATGCCGGCATGCGAACCCTCACGACGCATATCCGTATCCTTTCGGATACGACGATGCTGCTCCAAGGAAATCGCATACGAACTATTCGGCCCAAATTCTCCTTGTTCGTTCTTATACATCCGACAATTTCAATATTGTTCTCGATCCCTGCCTCGCCGCAACGGGCGCTCTGAAACCTCGACTGTCATCGGATCGACGGGAATGGTATTCATCACAACACGAACGGCTCCGAATGAAAGTTGAAACTATACGGGGATATTGAAGGTCAGAGTCGGAGCTTGAATATATAAAACTCCCACGAAATCTTGAGTCAAGCCCTTGCAAATCGAAATCATTATTGGCGCGCCTAGATATTGTTCATCATGGCTAATTAGCGCAACCTCGCTTTCGCCGTCATAGCTCGATAATAACTTATCAGAGACAAGCCGGAGGCATCACGACATATGTAATTGAATAATTTTTCAACAGATAAAGCGCGCTCCTTACGTAAGCCACCCTGTGAGTTCGATTCATTTTTCGCGCGAGGGCTGATGACGGCACGATGCGCGGATAGTGTCGCTACGTTTTACCCATCGGGTTTCTGGCAGTGAATCGAGTGATCTCGTGGAATGGGGACTCCCTCATGGCATTGCGAGCGGGAAAGATCGTGAAGGGGGAGATGTCGATCAGCGCTCCGATATTTCCTGGCCTGAGATCTAGTGAGGGAATTTCTTCCATGTTTCTTCGCCAAAATTAGCGTGGACTCGAACTAGGCCGGACTGCCCCGATCTCACTCAGTCATATGACGCTAGGACACGAGTCTTCATCGTGAAATACGGACTTGGAACCAGCTGGCCTTGGATTTTGACGATGTTGATAAAGCCGTTAGTTTCGCGTACGGAAGAAAGCGGGACTCGTTCGGAAAGTTGGGCATCGATCCCATGAAGGCAGCGACACTGATAAGGCAGCGTCAGTTCGTCTGTCCGCCTCTGGATCGGATTCCCTTTTCGCCAATGATGGGGTCTGCGTCCATGCGTTCAGATTGTACGCTCGCCGTGGCCGTCGACAACGTTTCCGCTAAAAAGGTTCCATGAACTCTATGTATCGGTCAACCGGGGGAGCGACATGTCAATACGTCTCGCAACTCGCATTCTGCGCGTATAGGAAGCGTCTCGAAGGGAAGGGAAATATTCATCAGGCGATAGCATCGCAGGCGCTCTGAATTACATGCGAACTTCATGTGTCCACATAACTTGACTAATTGGCAAAGTAATTCGTAGTTTACGGCGTTCGCACGGTACACAACCGTGGAACAAGGTGTGGCCGTCACTGCGGTCGTTTACGCTCGTTTCGTCGCCGAGCAAATAACAAGTTCTGACAACTTGATATAGCCTTGTCCTTTCGATGCTGGATTGCGAAACTGACGGAGGAGTCGGTCGACTTCGATGGCCCCCCACTTGGACCGTGTCCTTCACTTTTTCGTAAAGAACCTCGCGGACACGTTGCCCTCATTGCGTTATGGTACCCGTGTGAGATGGGCGCCCAGTCGTTCCGCTGCGGAATACCGGCTTCCACGTACGCTTCGCCGGCTGACTACCTAATCAGGTCTCGGTCGAGAGGACTCAACAAGTCTCGCGAGTTCAACATCGCTCGCTTCTATTTTTGTCGAATCTGAGGATCCTCGCGGCGGGGGCGGCAATGTCGACATCTACGTGACTATTGGCACTGTTTCGGTATGGCATGAGAGATTCCGAGAGTGCGGTGAGCATGTAGTGTGAGAACATGTTGATGTGCCTCGAATCGGAAGACTTCATGGCTCAAGCTCTCGGTGGTGCAGGGAAGAAACTGCGCAAGCTTGAGGTGGGGTTGGTTCTGTTCCGGTCGTTGACAAAGAATGCTCGAGTGACTAGAGTCTAGTCTCTAGTTTGTTGTAGTAGGCTATAAGCCAGTCAGGTGTTTTCTCGGCCGGTAAACTTATGACCTCTGATTGCAGGAATCTTCGCCTACCTGAATTACCTCGAACCCAAAACGCAGAGAGAGATTTTGGAATGTCTCATCCGAGGTCTGAAGCGACTTGAGTACCGAGGATATGACTCATCCGGCATCGCTTTCTGTGGGGGCCCTAAAGACAATCAGGTACGTCATGCTTCTCCAGAGCGGGTGCGAGCGCGCGGATGGTATTCATGCACTCAAGGCTCCCTCCGGAAAGGTCCGGCAGCATTGAATTCGTCGCGGAAGACAGTCGCGCCCGTGACTCTCTTCTCGGAAGTCCAAAGATCTTTCCGAAAAAATCTCTTCACGTTTGAAATCTCAACAATTGTCGGGGCCAACGCATCTTTCTGATAGATAATTGGAGGCGGTGCGAGAACGACACTCCATCGTTCCCATGAGGTCTATCAAGGGGTCGGGAGCACTCACGGTGTTAACTTACTCTGTCCAGGTTAAGGTCATTCGGAAGGAAGGCAAGGTCGCTGTGTTGGAAAACGCGGTTTTCGAGTCCGAGGAGATTGACTTCGATCGTACCTTGGACAGTCACCTCGGAATCGCTCACACCCGATGGGCGACTCACGGAGCGCCTTCCGATCGGAACTCCCACCCGCAGCGCAGCGACGTTAGCAATGGTTGGTGGATGAAGATCTTGTTTACGGAGTGATCTATTGCTCCGAGAGTTTAGAGTTGCGAGGAAGAGTGGCTCGGTCGGACTCGAGGTCG